AAAAACAAACGTACCCTTTTATTGTATAAAACTAAGAATCTAATACAAATCAGTTATTTAAATGACTAGAGTTACTAGTACTTACGCTAACCTGAAGTTGTTATTGAGATGATTCAATAAAAGTTGGAACTGGAAACCCCATAATTACGTTTGATGATAAGTGATGCATCTTACTCATGACAATAACACACAAAAAAAAAAAAATTACATAAAAATAATGGGAAGGTAGTTTTGGCTATCCAACTATTTTTCTTTTCTTTAATAAATGGAATGTTTTAGTCAGAAAGCATTGACCGATTCTTTGGTTTAACTATGATCTATAATTACATATTAATTTAATTATGAATCATTTGATTTGGCCATCTTTCAACCTTTATTTAACTAATGAACAGGTGCCAATTGGTCCAGTTATATAAATATTACTCACAGCAGACAAGGTCAAATAATGACAGGGTGGCATTTATGAATAACTATTAAATTTAACATATAAATATTGTCGGATGGTGAACGGAAATTAACAAATTTGATTAGGAAAATTATGTAGTGGTCCCACAGAGCAAATTTATTTATAAATAATTGCAAAATTTGAAAACATCAGCTAGGTCTCTTGAGGCATGAGTGTAATTTAAAATTAGGCTGTAAAGACAATAATACCCCTCTTAAACACATATTACATCAATCAAATTAAATAATTAATTTATAACTACTTCATTAACAATTTACAACTATAATTTTAACTTTTTGCAACTGTAACTTTATATATCCAATAGTTAAATAATCATGTGTTACTAACAAAGTTTCACATTAGTTATTTACAACCACTTTATTAATAATTTAAATTATAACTTCAACTTTTTACAATTGTAACTTTACATATATAATAGTTAAACTTATGAGTTTAATTATTGGATATATAAATTTTCAATTATAAAAAGTTAAAGTTATAGTTGTAAATTACTAATAAAATAATTATAAATTAAAGTAAATATGCAATTTAGGCCATGAACTACAGGTCCAGGGGTAATTTGAATCCTAAACTTTAAAAAGGTGTATTTTCAAACCTAAACAATTAAGGTTGAGACAATTTCGCCCCTATCGTTAATTTTTAACAAACGTTCATTAAATTTATATGGAAAAAATTTCACTTTAAGTCCCAATTTGACAGACATTTTTTGAAAGTTAACAATAGGGGAGAGATTGCCCCAACTTTAATTGTTTAGGATTTAAAAATATATTATTTTAAAAGTTTAGAGTTCAAATCACCTCTAGACCTATAGTTTAGTATTTAAATTGCATATTAATCCATAATAATATTAAATTTTCTAGGATATGAGAAGAAGGAATAAAAAAGGTAAACAATAATAATGATGATAGTGATGAAACTATATAAAAGAAGATTGTAAATTGTAATAATGAGTAAAGCAATTTTTGGTAGAGATTATGATAGATAAGAATGAAACTGTATGGAGTTGATTATTTTTGTTCTGGTTGAGTTGGGTTTTGATAGGCTATTAGTAGTAGCAATAGAAGTGTTGCACAATACTTTTCTATAAGTGCACTTTCATAGTTTTTCCTGTTTGTTCTTTGACATAATGGAATCTCATAATAATATCGATGAAAAAAAATATTAGCATTCTTTGTGAGGGAAAAATCTAGAATAAATTCCTCTTCATACACTTTTTTCTCTATCTTTTTATTTACCATAAAAGCACTTGGTTCTATTTTATAAATTTTCACCTTCATCGATCAATTCAAACTAAAAAACTTACACAATCCTTCACAATCTTTTTAAAAATTGATATAATATGTAAAATACACTTTTTTCTGTTATTGTTCAATTATCATCGATTAGAGTATATCTTTTAAAATACAAAGGGGTTAGTATACAATTTAGACTCTTAACTATAGATCCAAGAGCAATTTGAACCCTAAACTTTTAAAAAGGTGCATTATGCACCCTAAACAAGTTAGGGAAATTTCACTCTTATTATTAATTTTCAACTAACGTCTGTCAAATTGGGAACTAAAGTATAATTTTTCTCAAATGAATTTGACAGATGTTTGTTAAAAAATTAATTATATGGGTGAAATTATCCTAACTTTAATTATTTAAGGTTCAGAATGCACTTTTTTAAAGTTTAGTGTTCAAACCACCTTTGGACTTATAGTTCAAGGTTCAAATCACACATTAACCCTATATATTATTTTACTAATGTAATGTATAGTATATGTTTAATAGGGGGCATTATTATCTTTTTATCCTATTTTCAAATTATACTCATGTCCCAAGGGACCTAGTTGTGATTTCTGAATTTTATAAGACTTATTTATAAATAAATATACTTCATGAGACCTATATGTAATTTTTTTTAATTTGATTTATATTTCATTTGCTAAAAATCAGCTTCTCAAAAATTTGTTAGCAAATATCCTGTTCTCTTCGACCAATTAAATGGAAATGGGCTTGAAAAACACCCATGCGAGTAACGGCCCAGTCCAAATATAATGGCTTGTGACATTTGCTGAACATATAAAATGGCTTGTGATATTATGATCCATATAAGTTTTGATGATGACAAATATTAAAAAAATTAATTATACTTATGTCTAATTATTTTTATAAATATAGTAGTTAACTATAACTAAAGAACAAGTACCTTAAAGTATTTTTATCTATATTTCTCTATATTACATGAGATTTGGAGAAATAATTTTATATATATAGACGTTATTTTATATTATAATATTTTTTTATTCTAAAATGATTGAATATCCAAGAGTGTTTAAAGTATTATTTTCATAACTTGGATATTTACTAAATATAAGACTTCTCAAGTATATTGATACTTGGACTAAATATTTTATTCATGTCATCATTGAAGATTATCCAAAGTATAAGTGAGAGTAAGTATGAATAGAAAGAATTGAAGCCATCCCTAACATGCTGCACTCAATATTAATGAAGAACATAAAGATAAAGACAAGGATGATTCAAGATAAGCTTAAAAAAAATGAAGATATTTACATAAGTTTGGATGTATCATAGTGTTCAAGTTGATAGATATAATATCTTTAAGGTAGAAATTTTTGTGTTAAACTAATTGACTTAAGTATGCATTTACTGGCTCAAGATATTTCAAATCAAAATATGTATTTTAATTTTTAAAAAAGAAATAGTACAAGGAAAAAACAAAAAACAAAAACCAGAAAGGAAAAAATAGAAGAACCTAGATAGAAAACAAAACTAAAACCCATATGTAATCCTAGCCTTTGTCAGATCGAGTCTCTTTTATAAGTTCAAATTACACCATTGTTAATTCTGTAAAATTTAAATGGCATAGATTCTTATGACATGTTTGAGATAGAACATAGATGATTATGTGCATGTTTTGTTAATATCAAATAAACTAGAAGAGATTCAACAAGAAGTGATTAATATCACTCACATGCATGAAGAAGCGAAGATATCTCCCATGCTCAATCACTTTTTCCTACAATTTTATTGTATGGCTTATAATTTTAATTCCTCTATAATTTGCACAATTCTAAATATTTTTTTATTTTTATAAATAGGAACTAAGATGTTTTTCCTTCATTTTTCTTAAGGCATTTTCTTGAATGATGAGATCTTATTAAATATCTTTATATTTGTATATATAATTTAAAATACATATTTTAAGGGTTTGTTGGAGTACTAGAGAATCTTATTAGATATGGGATAACTATCTTAAATACTTCATAAGATGTATAACTTTAAAAATTTTAAATTTAAAAATAACATTTTAACTTATTTAAGTTTAATTTTTTCTTATAAGCCTACGGGTTTCCTATTTATGTTCAAATCTTCCAGGTTAGACCGGGATATTTTATATTTGACGGAGTTAATTTATAACAATTAAACTTTTAATGTTCATAATATAAGGTTTTAATTGAATTTTAAAAAAGAAGGGAAACCTGCAAGCAGAGAGTGAATTAATAAAGTAGGATCTTAAACAAGAATTTGTAAAGTAATAAATATATTTATAACCAAATTCAAATAATGTATATCAGACCCTAAACTAATTTATTATACAAATTGTTCTCTCAACTTTTGAAAACATTGCAATCTGACTCAAGCTATTAGCAAAAGTTAACTTTAATAGTTAGTTGATTAGAAAGTGACCTTAAAAATTACAGAAAATGATAAAAAAAATTACAAAAGAGGATCCAACATTCTCTCTGTAATTTTTTATGCCTTTTTTTTTGTCATTTTTCAGTTAACTAACTGTTAGAATTAACTTTTGTCAATAGCATAAGTCAGATTGCACATTTTTTAAAAGTTGAGGAAAAATTGGCACAGTAAATGAGTTCAAGGACTATATGCTTTTGGATCTAAAATTCAAGGGGTAATTTGCTCATTTACATGTTAAAATATTACTTCTTTAATTTTTTAAGTCATAAATATTTTTAATGAAAAAATATGATAATGAAAATAGTAGAATAATTATGTGTATCATAAAGTAACCGCATCAGACATGAATTGAACCCGGGCACGTTGATATTATATTTTAAAGTATGGGTGCTTCGTAAATAATTAAAGAACTCTTCAAAAATATTACAACTAAGATTGAGCAAAGTAACATGCATGCATGAAAAATCCATGTCTGATTGTCACTCCTCGATTACCTTGAGAATTAGCAGACTCACAGTCTACTAGACCTAGTAGTTTGCAGAGAGTTTAGAGATAATGGAGAGTAAAAAGTATCATGTATTTTGGTTATCAAATGATTAAATTATAAGGATCAAATTAGTAACCTCCTTCATTAATTAATTAATTAATTAATTAATCTCACATTATCCTTAACTTAGTCAGCTAAGAGATAGGGAATAACTGATAGTTACAAGGTTGTACGTTGGGCCTTTATCCATTGAACTCACTTGTGTGGTCCACCTATCATGGTTCACACAAGATCATAAAGACTGACCTATCTGAGGCTTATTAATTAATGCAAATCCATAAATATTTATAAATATTCCAACATTACATAATTGGTGTATAATTTGCAACACGCAGCTGTGGAGCCCTTTGGGTTTGTAATAACAGTACAATATACAAAATAACTAAATAACTATGTAGACAAAGAATTTACAAATAGATCAGAAGCATTACATTATTATTATTTCTAATAATTGTGCAACGAGGTTTATCGCGTGATGTCACTCTTTTCAAACATCGATTGCTTGATACTTGGGTGGCGAGTATCCTTCTCTCTTGTGAACCTATAGAAAAACAAGAATTCAACTATTATTTTTCTTCATTTTTGATCATCAAAAAGAAAATTAAATCAATCAATAAACTAATAATAGCACTGTGTGTGTGTGCGCGTCAATATTATATATATATATATATATATAATAATAATAATAATAATATAATGTGAGAAGCATTGGTGCTTTTTATTTCGTGGTAAAATCAGATGTTTCCAATGAATATCAACAAGAATAAATGGTTGTAGAGAAAATTTCACTTTAATTTCTCTACGAGATGGAACAAATATTGTGTCGATTATTTTACCCGAACCGCCGCCTAAAAAGGAACTATATAAATTATGTTCTTTTTCTCTTTTTCTTTTTATTTTCTTTTTCTTTTTGGTAAATTAATCTCATTAGCCCTATGAAATATTAACTTACCCCACCCAAACAGTTTTAAGAGAAATTGGGCATTGCATATCTAATCTCTTCATCCCTATGCCTATTTTACTTATGTGTGTGCATGTCAAGTGAACTCATTCAGATTCTATTTCTGCTTTTGAATTTATAACCAAGAAATAGGACCTTTGAGTTTGATCTGCAGTTAATTTGTAAGGTCATCATGTGATTCAACGAGAAACCAGATGAGCATATCATAAATTCCATTTGGTCTACGTTTTTATTAAAAAAAAAAAAAGTTTTGATAAGGTAGGTCCTAAGGTTCACCAGTAAATGCCTTTAGACTTAAACAGCACTTATTAATATTTTTAATTATGATTAATGTTCTTATGGATCCCTAGTTGTCACTTTCCTTAAAAAAGGGAGACAAGCTAAGGCATATTGCACACTCGTTTGGTTTTATTTTGCATAGAAAAGAGACAATTTCATCATTTTATTCAAACAACCTTTTTCACTTCAATTCCGTAAATATAAACATTGAGTTAATCTATTCGAAAGAAAGTAATTGCCTGTTGAGGGAAGACAGTTAATAATAATAATAATAATAATAATAATAATAATACAATTATTGTTTCCTTCTAATTAAATTTCTTATAAATCAATTTATTTGTCCATCTATTATAAATGTTTTGGTTGTCAGGTTTTTTCTTTTTTGTTTGGCCGCAAAACGCGAAGACTATATATCACGAGCACACAAAACCCGAAAAAGTACAAGCCAAAAAAAAAAAAAAAAACCAGAAAGGAAAAAGAGAAGAACCCAGATAGAAAACAAAATAAGACCCATGTGTATTCCTAGCCTTCATCGGATCGAGTCTCTCTTTTAAATTATACTATTGTTAGTTCTATAAAATTTAAATAGCATAGATTCATATGAAAAGTTTTTAAGGTAGAACATATATAGATGAGTATATGCATGTTTTGCTAATATCAAATAAACTAAAAAAATATTCGACAAGAAGTAATCACTCACCGTGAGGTTGCTTCAGCAGAAAGAAGCAACACAGAAAGAAAGAGAATCACCAAAATAGGATATTGCCTCTTGAAAGCCATAATTAGGTTTGAATGTTTGTATATCTCTGTAAGCGTCGACCACATCAATTTATAACACAAAATTAGGGGGCAGTTGTGTCCATTCAAGCAATTTTCTATTAGAATAATGGGTTTTATACTGTAATTTTAATTAGTCTTCCAAAAATACTTGAACTTGATCTTTATTAAAATATACGAGCTGGCCTCTCTTTGTTATTTATGGGAAGTTTGACATGTTCTTCCATACATATACTTTAGAGCTTGAAGAATGAGATGTATTTTATATAATTTGTTATTGAGGAATTTACTAATTAAGATTTGATTATTTATATTTGATAGTTAGGAAACTGATGGTTTTTTATATATTTTTGAAATAAATTAAATGCCCCATAAATTTCAGGACAGTTTAAGGGAGATTTTATGCAAAACTAATACTCTCTCTAGTCTTGTTTATAAGTCATTTTCTGCATTTTCATTGAAACTAAGAAAAACTTTAAACCTCATTAACTTTGTTTAAAAATTTAACAAGTTTACAATTCTACCTCTATTAAACATACTTACTTTAAAATAAAATATTCTAGCATTTAATAAACTTCCTTACATTTAATAGGGGCAAAATTGTGAAGATAAACACAGCAAATATTTTCTTTTTTCTTACTGATTAAGATTTGATTATATCAAACTAATCTAATCGGCAACTTGCAAACTAATATGTTTTTCTAATATAATGGTTGAATTAAAATGAAAACTAAAAATTGTAAATTAGCCAAAACAAATTGTGGCCCAAAGGAAAATTATTCAAAACAACTTAAGTTGATTTTTCTCCTATGGCCTCAAGTATTATTGGTCGTTAAAAAGATAGACTATATTAATTAGGTTTATTTTATACATAAAACTAAGATTCTAATACCAATCACTTATTTAAAAAGACTAGAGTTATTAGTACTTAAACTAACCTCAATTTGTGATTGAGATGATTCAATAAGAGGTGGAACTGGAAACCATTATTACGTTTGATGATAAGTGATGCGTCACTTATTCATGACACTAACACATACAAATTTGTATAAAAATAATGGGAGGGTAGTTTTGGCTATCCAACTATTTTCTTTACTTTAATATAATGGGGTGTTTTAGTCAGAAAGCATTGACCGATTCGTTGGTTTAATTAACTATGATTTATAATTATATTAATTTAATTATGAATGATTTCATTTGACCATATTTTAACCTTTATTTAACTAATGAACAGGTGTCACCACTAATTTAATAATTGGTCTAGTTATATAAATATTACTCACAGATGACAAGGTCAAATAATGACAAGGTGGCATTTATGAATAACTATTAGATTTAACATATAAATATTGTCAGATGGCAAACGAAAATTAAAAAATTTGATTTGTTTTTCATTTGCTAAAAATCAGCTTGTCAAAGTCTATTAGCAAAAGTGAGTTTCGTAACCTAATTTGTGATTGGATACTGTTTAGCCTAACATGCAGGGGAAATGACAGTTAGGGACTCTGTAAATATTAATGACAATTACATATCTTCAATTATTAAAATCTCAATAAAAGACCACGATCTTTACTTGTAATTAAAAATGTGAATATTCAGTTGAGAAATCTACTAACTACACTTAGGATCATTTGTAATATCAATTGGGAATTTATGAAGGTTAATTGAGAATGTCAATTTTTTTACTGTTAATATACAAATAAACCACTTAGAAAATCAAGTAAATATAATTGAAATTATTTGTAATGTTATTTGTGAATTTATGAGAGTCTCTTATAAATCACAAGCTAATTATTTATGATTTTTTGCTTTTAATATATAGATAAATTACTTGAAAAGTCTATTAAATATATTTGAATTTATTTCTAACATCAGTTAAAAATTTACAAAAATTATTTATAAATTGTAAGCCAATCACTTGTGATTTTTTTTTGGCTGTCGCTTGGAAAATTAAAACAATATAGTTGAAAATCTTTGTAGCATTGGTTGAGAATTTACTGAAGATCGTTGCGAATTTCAAGTCAATTAACAAAAGATAATTTATTACAAATAAGGATCATGGTTTATTATTATTATTTCAATAATTTAAAATTTATAATTATTACTAATGTTCTTGCAAAGTCCCTAACTATTATTTTCCCTTACATGTTCCCTCTGGTCAATTAAATGGAAATGGGCTTGAAAAACACCCAGGCGAGTAACGACCCAGTCCAACAGAGAAGTGAAGCAGTGACCGTTTTAAGTGAAACATGGAACGACTACTCCCTCGCTTCAAAAGAAGAAAGCGACAAGGTGGAAGAGGCATCTCTTGGACATAATGGTTTGTGATATTATGATTAATATAAGTTTTGCTGATGATAAATATTAGTAAAGTTAACTATACTTATACCTAATTATTGTCATAAATATAGTAGTTGACTACAATCAATGAACATGTGCTTTAAAGTGTTCTCATCTATATTGTTCCATATTATATGATATTTAAAAAATAATTTTATGTGTATAAAAGTTATTTTATACTATGATATTTTTTTATCCTAAAATGATTCTATATCCAAGAGTAGTGTTCAAAAATATTATTTTCATAACTTGGATATTTACTAAATAAATGTAAAAATTTTCATATACACGACGTAATAACTTTTATATTTATTCTCATACATACTGATACTTAGACTAATCATTTTATTCATATAATATCATTGATGGTTATCCAAAGTACAAATGAGAATGAGCATGAAGAAAAATAATTAAAGCTATCCTTAGCATGCTACGCTCAATATTAATGAAGAATATAAAGAAAGACAAGGATGATTCAGAATGAGCTTAAAAAGAGTGAATACCATTTATACAAGTATGGATGCATCATAGCCTTGGACTTGATTGGTAATATATCCTTAGGCTAGAAATATTTTTATCAAACTCATTGACTTAGATATGCATTAATTGGCTCAAGATATTTCAAATTAAAACAGGTTTTTTTAGTTCTTAAATAAGAAAGAGTGAGAAATGATTTTCTATTATCATGATTTTTTTTTATCTTTGGTCATTTATAACTCACAAGATTAGGAATTTTTTTATCACTAACTCCATAAAGCTTTCAAAGATCTTTTATTTACTCAAAGCAAAGTTCAGTTTAAAAAGTTATCAATATTTGAAGTTTAAGCTTTGATGTAAATTCCGCAGAAAATTCAGTTTTGACCTATGGTCACATTTTTAATCATATCTCTTACATTACATATTATTTTGATATGAAATATATCTCATTTGAAAGTAGACTCCAGATTTTCAATGATAATTTATTTACTAAAAATGGAGTCCCAATGAGAAAGTGATGATTGTTAGAAGTTGATTAGAGAGATGTAGATTACAAATTAAGTTGAATTTAGTCATAAAGTTTATTTTATTGATAACCATACTTCAAGAGCTTTTCAACAATATATAACTTACTAAATATGGAGTTGTATTGAGTGAGTTATAACTTTAACTGAAATGTCACTCATTCACGAGTGAACTAGTTTTTGTGCTTGCGTGAATTAGCCTTAGAATTGTCTTGGATCACATTTTTGCAAGAACAAGATGTTATGATGACAAAAATTAGAGCTGCAGTATGATGCTTAGTTCTGTCTAACTCATTCACATGAAAATCGGTTGATTCATGCAAAAATTAGAGTGATAGTAAAAATCATGTTTGTGGACCTCTAATTCTAGCAAAAACTAGGGCTGTGTTTGGTACACAGGCTTCAATTTATAGGGATAGAGATTGATAGTGGGAGTGAGAGTGAGGCTTTAAAATTATATATGGTATGGATTATTAGGTCTTAAAAAATAAGTTTTAAAAATATGATAAATAATTATTCAACCAACACTTAAAAAAATAAAATTACGAGATCAATGAGTTCAAATTGTCCGAAACTATAATGTTGATGAGTAATTTAGGGTCGTTATCCAGTTTCTGCGTTGAATGACTTCAATTCTATCATGAGTCCATGATGGATACAATATTTTTGTCTTTAAATAGTCTTCATCGCTAATTGCTGGTCATTTATATCATGATCGGCATATTTTATATTTGATGGAGTCAATTAATAACTAAATTTTAAATATTCATGGTATAAAATTTTAATTGAATTTCGTGAAAACAAAGTAGAAAAACCTGCAAGCAAAAAGTGAAGCTGTAATTATTTTATAGGAAAAATATTACGAGTTGAAACTATTTGTAAGGCCCCGGAAGATTTAATGTTTCAAGAAAGGCCTTGACTTCGCGGATCCCCATTGAAACATTCTCATAGATGAGCAACAGAACAATACCACGATCAATTATGTGAACAACAAGTGAATAAACGTAATGGCTATATGAAGAACCACACTGATTGATAGTGGAACTAAATTTAGTGAACCAAGCACGATAAGCTTTTTGAACGTCATATAAAGCTTGATGAAGATGACAAACTTTATCTAGTGGATGAAGATAGCTAGGACAAGGTTTCATGTGAACTTCTAGATCACTTTTAAGCAAAGAATTTTTGAAATCCATCTGATGAAGAGTCCACTGCTTAACCACATCAAAGGCGAGAAGATTGTAAGCAGAAGTAAGATGGGTACTATGAACAAAGGTTTCTTCATAATCGATGACATACTCTTGAGTGTTATCTTTACCCAGCCACCAGATGAGCCTTGAAGACATCTAAAGAGCTGCAAGAGAGTTTTAGTTTTATAAACCCACATTCATCCAACTAAAGTTTTACCAAGGAGAAGATTAATTAGCCAAGTCCCAATTAAGCATTTTTCTAGAGCCAGCAGTTCAACTTGCATGCTTGCTGCTAACGATCGAGGGTCACAAGTCTTCTTTGTAATCGTAAGACTTAGGTCCCAATCATATTTATTTAAGCACAGTTTATAATTTTTATTCTTCTAAAATTAGATCATTTTTAATTTTAAAATATCACTTTGGACCTTAATCATGAAATAATGGTTGTTTTCTGTAAGGTGCAACTAGTATCTTTAACTTTCTAT